CCTTGGTCCCAAATGGCAGACAACCAAAAACTCGCATGGTAGTCAATGTGTTAAAGCGAATTACCCTCCATCCATCACTGTAGGATTACGGTAAAGACTTAGAGGGTTTTGGGCCATCAGTGGCTACACTTGCCCCGAAATGGACACTTATCCAGCTGAAAACATTTTTATACTAGGTCAAACTGAGTGCTGATCCTGAGTAAGGCTTTTTTCCAGGATTCATTTCATGTAAACCGCAACAACTTGTTTTCTGGTGTTTCGTCAACTACGTGATTAAACTAGTTGAAATGCTTAGAAAACTCTTAAAACGTTGTCTAGCGAACTTAGCACATCTGAAAACACTGCTACGTAATTCTCCAGATTTTTGGCACTTTCTTCACCAGCGGTCTATTTCGGAGTGGCGCTTATGCTGGAAATCCCCACAGTAATTGTACAGTAATGAAGAGCGATCGATGACTAATACTGTAAACTAGTGAAGCCTCCTCTACAGAATGGTACTTGAACAAATTGCAAAAAAGGCCCAATAAGAAGAGAGATGTTAACGGTTGAAAAGAGTGTACTTACTTTCGGGAAATCCTGTATGTATACCTTTACTGCAGCAAGAACTGAGGGATTTTTTTTGAGCTAAGTGACATCGCTTGAGGCTTTGATAGGCTTAGAGATCCGGTCTCAACAGCTAGATAATCTCGTTTTCCAAGAAGTCATGCCAGGGTAACTTTCTTTTTGGGCATGTTTAGTCTTGAATGCTGTAGTATAAATGTAAATTAGTACTTTCACCTTCGTTTATTGCTCATCAACACCTGAACAACACGATAGCAGAAATGAAATTTTTCCGGTTTAGAAGTCGTTTTCACCGTTTGTTTTTTTCCGCAGTATTTCGAATCAAACAGTTGAAAATTTTTTTGCATATTGTACTTCATGTTTTGGAACAAGTATCTTTCAACTTTCTAACATTACTGGGTTGTGACGCAGTGTTGAGATAACTACGGGAGTTGTTGATTTTTTTGCGATACACTTTCAAATAGAAATAAATACTTGTGTTGTTATTTGAACTGCGAAGGAAGTAGCGGTTGCAAAGTTGTGAGTGATAAATTGGCTGCTGCTTTTCTAATGCAGACATCTAATTCGCGGCAATTTGCCGCCAGTTTCGAAATGACTTTTTCACTGTATTTACTCAAACCTACTATTACATGTTCTATTTTCAGCAAAATCTGCTTGAAGAGATGACCGAACCATTCGTAAGAGGCCCTTGCTATCCTCCTCGTTCTCGATCTTTGGGTCGTACTAGTGCATTAGCCGTACCATCGTCAACACCATCATCATCGTCGTCGTCATCTTCATCTTCTTCTGTACCAGCATCCTCAGCATCGTCATTTGCACTGGCATCGTCAACATCGAGGTCTGTTTCGTCTTCTTCTGTGTTGAATGCATTTGGTGCAACAGTCGTTCAACGCTCAGCAGATTCTTTGATATATGCGCGCCCTTTGAGTCAGTCATAGATTTGGGTTAGTGCTTGCCGTCAACGATTTCGATGGTTCGGCATTGCTCAAGTAAGGTTGAAGCCTTTCTTTTTGATTTGTTAGTATTTTCCATATCACCCGTTCTTTTTTGAAGTTTGTAACATACATCTCATGTTATCCTCTCGATTGTTTCTTTAGACACATCTGCTCCTGTAGTTTTCCTATATCGTTGCTTGTGAATCTATAAGTTCTCCTCCAACATAATTCTTCGTAGGTCATCGCTCCCTGTGTTTAGCTTCCAATCATTTCTGCTGTCTTGGGCTTATTCGTTACCTTTAAACGCTGTATCTCTCAGATCGTTTATAAGTCTGAACGTTGAAGTTTTCCTACGTGGTGGTATTAATTGACTCCTTGAAGCGTTGCTGAATTCTTCATAGGGTATAATATGGGAATCGTAGATGTTGTTTTGTCTCGATACAACTTTCTTTGTAAATAAGTTCATGAGTTGGAACACCCTTCAAGTATGCTTTGGACCTATGGAGTCTGTGACTTTTCCCTGTTGTGCATCTTCCAGGGCTTGATTAACATTATTTGTTTCTGTTCAAATGTGATAGTGTTACTTTTGTTCTTCGAGTTTTTCTTTTTTTTTTGTGACATCTTGCTTTTTGCATATATCAGAATATGAGGAGCAATCAGTTTATTTAGTGCGCTAGCTTCCTATATTTCTTCGCCTTTTGGTTTTCATTACAGTTTTGCTTCGATGTTCTTTCTATTAGGTATTTGATTCGTTGTACATAAAAATCTTTTGTAAAGTG